AGTAAAAAAAATATAAAAAATATATAACAGTACATAGACATTCATACAATATATATATAAAAAATATAAAACAATTCTTACCAGATTTGAAAATATGAAATTCCTTATAAAGTTATAATAAAACCACATAAATATATACAAATATACATTTAGTATAAAGTACTAAAAATATACACACCCTAACACTTGTCAACCATCTATTGCATAAATGTTACATTAGAACAACACCAAACAAAATTACCATTATCCCAACAAAGCACCCAAAATTCTACTCACCCTCAGTTTTAATCCTACCCCACCCCCGAAATAATATAATCATTTTAGTCGGACAACAAGAAAAATGTAAGGTTGAGCATGTAAATAACAAATTAACATATAATGTAGAAGTAAAGTACTAATTATATTAACAACTTCATCCACAACACAACAACAACCTAAGCTTAACTCAACGACCTCAATTAACATATCACACAATCATGTCAATTGAACAATATATAAACATCTCAACTTACAACACCACTATACATCATACTAGCATACTAGCTTAGCAACTTTTTAACATACAAACTCAATATAAGAACAATACGACTTCTTAACACAATATATGAACAACATAGTACTTACAACACAACTTAGCAACAGATCAACTTAAACAACACTACGCGCAACATGACAACACAATGCGTCATCATACATTTTAATTAAGAGATTTCTTACAACATAAGTGAGCAATCTAAGCGACTTAATCCTACCAAACCAACTTAATAGTATAATTCTTTTTGATTTGCTATATCAAGCAAATTTGGATATCAATCTACAACACAATATGATTTCTCAAATTTCTCCATTTAAACTAGTTAAGTCCAATACTCATCGTCAAGTATAACATAGCTTGGATATGGATTCATCACGACATTGACATATATTAACCAAGTCACCTAAATGTACAACCCACTAACTATCCTTACGATACTACACACCTTTTCAATAATCAGTTAATGATTTTACCTCTTAACTTTATACCTTACTCAATTTGGTTGCTTCTAAATTAGTATGCCTCAATCTATCCCCTATACAATATCAACTAAATACTCAAAAGAGATTCAATACTCCATTTCAAAAAATAGCTATATTAAAAAAGGGATTTTCAATAATTGGGCTACCAAAGAACCACGTACACATATCCATGCAATGATATATTTTAACTTTTAAAACAACACCTTTTCTCTAGTCTTATGTTCACAACACAACACAACTACATGCATCATGCATGTTATCAACATAATTCAACACAATATACAGCAATATACTTCTCACGTATTCACAACACAACATAAAATAATATATAACTTATATAAATACTCAACACATCCATGCCTTACGAGATTCGCCCACGCCCAATGCTCACATCCTACGTCAATGAGATAGAGAGTCTCTAAAAACCACATCCTATATATGGTACCAAACCTATATCTGACATCATCCAGACAGAGAGCCTCTACATGACCTGTGCTTTGCGCTCGATGTTGTCAAGATAGGGAGCTACTAACTTGATCACGCTCATTGCTACTCAACCTACGCCTGGTGTCACCTAGTCAAAGAAATCCAAAGGCAATAAAGCTTGGCGCCCCTCAACCCATACCTAATGTAACCAAGTAAGAGAGCTCTTTACTAACTCACACCTAATGCTACCTATTTCACACCAAACATCAATGAGACAGAGAGCCTCTGAATTCCATCACGTCCAATGCCATGAAGTTGTGCCTAGGGCGAAGACAATTTCTACACTTGGCATAATTGTGATTTGGGCTCAACCACTTGCAATCTCACCTCCAAACCAACATGCAACTCATAAAAATATATGTATATACTGTAAACAACTCAAATTCACAAAAAATAGTAGCATGCATTCATCAATGATCCAAAATCGTCCATTTCTTTCTCCAACAACCAAAAACCTATACAAAACATTATTTACTTCTCAATTGAACATATAAAATCCAAGCAACAATCAACACATACATCACTAATACAACTGATCTACAAGCTACCCTTATCTTGAATTTTCTTGAGAAAAAGAAGAAAAGAAAGAAACTTGAAAATCCTAACTCTTTTATGATGATTTCTTCCTCTAATTCTCAACTCCTGAAGCTTCAAATCACAACACAGTTACTCAATCTAAGCTCTAAGGGAAGGATTTGAGCAATCCATGAAGTGAAAAGAAAGAGTGATTTCCTTTGGCTTCAAAGTCTCTCTCTGTCTCTCTTTCTCTAACTTTTCTTGAATTTTTTTAAGAAAATGAACTTATGAAGTTAAAGTCTTAGAAAAACCTTATACACTTTTTCATAAACTTGATCAACTTTGACCTTAATTCACAACATCTACTAACCAACTAAACTCATAAAAATTTCTTAAACCTTTAAGTTTTAAAACATAAAAACAACAAATCATACAACTATTTAATTAATAAAATTAAATAACAATTATACAATTTCACAATGTTACATGAAAGACCAAAAAAATTATAGATACAGGAACTAAACAATTATTTTTATTAAAATTACAAAGACTATAAAAAAATAAAATTTGAATTTGAGGGACTAAAATATATATTTTTTTTTTGATATTTTAGAGACTAAACATGCAAGTTTTAAATTTTAGGAAAAAATCACTTTACTAAAATTTGAACGCCAAAGTAAAAAAAAAAAAGAATATTAAGATTGGAAAAGTAACTACTTAAAATTTTAGAAGGAAAAATATGACTGATTTATGATGATAACTTACAATGAGTGAAAATCAAAATTTGAGTTAAGATTATTTTTTTAATTAAATAAACACAATAATCTGAAGAGATGCTTATGATATTAAATAATAAAATTAGTTATTGAAAAGTGAAAACTAAAGTTTAGTATATTTTATATATTATTATAGTTGATGTTGGATGATAATGGTTAAAGGCCTTTTTTTAAATTAAACTGATTTTTTTTTTACATTTGAATTATTTGAGTTTAATGGCTATATATTATCATTATAAATAAAAAAAATATCAATCAATTAAAAATTAACTTTATTATGAGTTATGACTTGGATAATTATTAAATGACAATAAACTTACTATTCACGATGAATTATGATAATGATTAGTGTATATATTTTTTCTCTTGATTTATAGTGATAATTAATTTTTCATATTAATTATGCACTTATTTTAATATAAAATATTTAATCATAAAAAAAATATAAAAGTTGAGCAAAAACTATTTTTATATATTTCAATCAAATTAAATAAGACGAGAAAGAAATTTGAATATATTAGATATAATAATAAATATATTAATTGTAACAGTTTATATTTCACATGCTATAATACATATATAATAAATGACCTGAATAGAAACTTTATCATAAATAAATCTCAATTGTTCAAAATAGTAAAGAATATCACATTTTAACAAAACAAAACTAGTTGAAGTTCAATTGAAAATTAATACCATAAAGATAACAACTGCACTGAAACATACTAAAAGAAAATTATATCTTAGTTAAACTTTGATATCACATTCTATCAAAGCATAGATCCAAACACAAGGACTAGGCCTTATAGCCAACATTCTCAACATCGGGATGCAAGTCACCCACAACAACATACAAGAAAAATAACACAAGACAAGGGAAGTGAGAAACATTTTATTCTTGTTCATGGTGTAGAATGTAGCCAAATAGTCAAACACAACAAACATACAAGGATATAAGCATAGTAATATAAGAAATATGACACAATTATTTGAAGCATAACAATACACAATTCAATTGTTATCGTGATAGGAATTCACATATTCATAACTAGTCACTACAATAATTCATTCACATGCACTATGTGACAGACACAAACTACAATTAATCATGCATGTAACACTAGTTAAAATAATCACATGGTTCATTGCCTCAAGCAACACATAGAGTAGCCTATGCATACATGTTAGGTCACACCCTTAATGCACTCTCACTAGCAGGATATATTATTAGGGTTTAATTAGGATAATGGAGTTGCACAAGCTCTACCCCAAGAACATAATAGGTAGAAGCAGGGTTTTACAAACTCGATTAGCCCCAATGATTGATCTTCAAGCTTTTATACAAGGGAATGTTCCTTGGCAGTGTATTTCATATCGTACCCTTAAAAAATATTTATGCAAATGATGCATTTCAAACAAGACTCTATACAATAATTCATCACAATGGTATATCATGCAATTCATCAATTCTTACTAATCATGTAATTGACAAGCTCAATTATATATCAATTGGGTATTAAAAATTAGCAGCACAAAGATCCCATGAATCAATTTATACATAGCTCATAATTGTACCAATAACATACTCACATACTACAACTAATTATCAACATTAATTAGTACAATAATTACATACGTTTACAATCCAAAAATTACACGACATCATTCAATACACCTCTAAATAAAATCATAATGAAATCGTCTAATCATCTGTTAACACCTTGACAATAGTCATTAAGAGATCAACATCAAACTAAGTATTTTAAATTAATAACTTAACTAGTTTAGCAATATTATCGATATGACACATTAAATTCTTAGGCATCTCTATCACCAAAAAACCTCAAATTGTTAACAATCAACTTACATCATAGCTTATTTACAATTAATTTTTCTCATAATTTATCTTTCGTAAACATTGATATAAATACCTCAAACCATTCATAAGATCAAACATTTAAAAGGATAAGATTATTTACCGTCATTATTCACAAATTACATTTTCATAACTTAATCTTCTAAAACATTGTGTGGTCCAAACACCTTATCTAAAACTATATATATGTTATAAAAAGTTGATGTTAATTTTACAAGACATAATTAGAATTCTCCATCACAATATACAAGAAAAAATAATTGTGTAAGATAATTAAGATGAAGTTGTTTAAGGCATTTTTAGCGGAGAGAAAATAAAAAAAATGAGGTGGAAGGCATCGTAATTTGTGCCCCTTTAATATTTTCCCTCTTTAGCACGAATCTCTTGGTTCGCTTCTTCTGTTGCTCTCCTAGACAGACACAGAGACAGCGACATCTGTGTTAGAGTTAGCAGTTAGCAGGTTCCTATGCATCACATTGCAATCTCACTACTCTCAAATGCCACCTAACAACCCAATGCCTTTCCCCCCAACTCCTCCGCACTCCACCAAGTCCTCCTTCACGCGCTCCTTCGCCGCCTACTTCTCACGCTCCTCCGCTCAGGTCCAGCCCCGCCCCTCCGACGTCCTCGTCCTCGACCTCCTCCGCCTCGTCGAGGACCTCCGCGAGAGAGAGTCCCGCCTCCAAACAGAGCTTCTCGAACACAAGCTCCTCAAGGAAACCCTCGCCATTGTCCCCCTCCTCCACAACGACATTGCTTCCAAGGACGCTCAAATCCTAGCCAATGCCATCAAAATTCAACACGTCGAGGCAGAGAATCAGACCCTCAGGAACCAGCTCAAACAACTCAACCTCCGGTTCCAAGAACAGAAAACGGAGAACCACAGGAAAACCCAGGCGTTGGAAGACGAGATTGCTGAGCTCAAGAAAACGGCGTCGGATCACGTCTGCAAGGCGTCGGAAAACCACGACCATCCTCCTTCTCCGCTGAGGCTTCCAGCGAGGTCCAACTTTATCAAGAGTTTAAACAAAACGACGTCGTCGGACAATGGAAGCGTGATCCACAAGCTCTTTGAAGCTACTGTTGCGGATTTTAAACCAGAGGTGGCGGAAACTCAAAGGCCGCGTCGTGACTCGGAGGAACTCACTGATTCCACCGCCTCCAGTTTAACCAAATCACGTGCGCCTCGCGTTCCCAAACCGCCGCCCACACGCTCGTCTTCTTCCTCGTTCTCTTCGGCGGAGAACGGCAATGTCCACACGGAGGAAGCGATTTCGCAACCACGGAAGGTGGCGCCTCCGCCTCCGCCGCCTCCTCCCAAGGCTAAGTCTAAGGCTACTCCGCCTCCTCCGCCACCGCCGCCGAAGGGGAGTAGGCAGGTTGCCGCGAAGGTGAGGAAGGTGCCGGAGGTGGTGGAGTTTTATCACTCGTTAATGAGGAGGGAATCGCAGTCCCGGCGAGAATCGATCGCCGGCGCGGTGGAAGTGCCACCGGCGGCGAATCCACGTGACATGATCGGCGAGATCGAGAACCGTTCGTCTCACCTGCTCGCGGTAAGCGTGTGTGTCTCGTGATTTTTGCTGAAATTGCGTTTTTGCCACTGGTCATTTGCGTCAGTGTCAACTGCGAAGTAGAAACTAACGTGCTTTAATTTGAAATAGATTTTTTGATGCATAAGACAATAGTTACATTCAAATTTGGATGCCCCGGACTGTACAAATGCCCCAAAGTAGCGTGTCACTTTATGGAATCACTTTTTAATTGTCTAACTAGAATAGGAAAAAATAATACAAATCTTTCATTAACTGAAAATCAATTAATTTCCAACGGAGTTGTTAGTGTTAGTTAGGTGATTAGAGCCTAAATGCAATCAATTCAGCATAAGAAAAGATGGTTTTGTTTTGTCCGGTTTATTGTATTAAGTATTAACTGTTGGATAATCTTTCGTTGCTTTCAGATAAAATCGGATGTGGAAACGCAAGGAGACTTTATTAGATGCTTAATCAAAGAAGTGGAGGGTGCCGCATTTACGGACATTGATGACGTTGTGCTCTTTGTTAAATGGCTTGATGACGAACTTTCCTATTTGGTACTTACTTTTGGATAATATTATTTACACAAATTTTAACAACAATATTTTCTTGACACTTTTAGTTTCACCTCATTGTAAAATTTGACGTAAGAAATTTAAATAGAAATGGCATTACTCCTTAATTTTATATTACTTTGACACTTCTATATATATTTGCTTTTAGATTAAGATAAAGAAGATTCGTTTCCGATAGTTTTTGTTTCTGTTTCAGGTGGATGAACGAGCAGTGTTGAAACACTTCGAATGGCCAGAACAGAAGGCCGATGCCCTGCGTGAAGCTGCGTTTGGGTATTGTGATCTGAAGAAGTTAGAATATGAGGCTTCGTCATTCCGCGATAATCCTCAGCAGCCATGTGGTCCTGCTCTTAAGAAGATGCAGACTCTCTTTGAAAAGTATGTGACTATGTGTGTTCCTGCCCACTTGCGGATATAATAACAACACTATTTCTAAAATGTTAATTGAACTTTCACTTGCACACAGCCTCAAAGTAAACTCTAATGTTGTGTTAAAAATTGAGTTATGGCAGGTTAGAACATGGGATTTACAATATCTCGAGAATGAGGGAGTCAGCAACAAATAGATACAAAGTCTTCAACATACCTGTAAATTGGATGTCTGAGAATGGTTTTGTGAGCCAGGTATTTTCCATGCAACATTTGGGAAGTTACATATGCTTAATTTTAACTACATTCAGTGTATACAGTCTCAGCAATAGCGTACGACCGATTATCTTCAATGTCTCACTAACTAACGGCCAAAAGTTGTTTCAATTGATTTAGACTATTCCAAGTGATTTATTTTGTGGATTTCTAAACGAGTTGTCTTGGTCTTATTTGTTTGATAGCGTTCGTACTTCCTTTTTAGTAAGCCTATTAGCATTAATTTTTCTCGTTAAATTTCATCATGTCGGAATGATACAACCCAAACACAAAAACATTTGCGTTGGTAAAGTTAACTACTATGTCGTGTCTAGTGTAATCAACATGGTGCAGTGCTGGTAGCAAAACGACAAAGCCAAGGTCGGCTTCTTACTTGCTTCTCTGTGCAAACATCTGCATGAGCACATGTGAACTCAGATTTCTGAAATCCATCTCTTTGTCTGCTTAGTCTTTTTAAATTGAATAAAGAGCACGAGATTCTTTACTCTTGAACGTCAATATCTTTGTCGCATTCAAATGGGCCTAGGATGATGGATTATACATTCTATATGTTTTAAAAAATTATACGAATAATATAATAACAAAATGGTTCTTACATGCAAATAAACAACACTTAAATGAGGCGTGGATACTGGATAGTTCTTGGTAGATTGCTATTTACAATTTCTAGATGATGAGGTAAATTTTCAAATGTTGGCTTAGCTCATTTTATTTATTGTACCTGCAACTTTATGTTGTGACAGATCAAGCTGGCATCTGTGAAACTAGCCATGAAATACATGAAAAGAGTGTCTGCTGAGCTTGAGACAGGTGGTGGTGGTCCTGAAGAAGAGGAGCTCATTGTCCAAGGAGTTAGATTTGCATTTCGAGTACATCAGGTAAATCCTACATATATTTTCGAACGATAATACAAAACAGGTGCATGTTGTAATGCAGAGAGAGCATATGATATAGGGCCATGTGGAAATATAATGAGTTGTTGTTTGGCAGTTTGCTGGGGGGTTTGATGTGGAGACAATGAGAGCATTCCAAGAATTGAGAGATAAAGCGAGGTCATGCCATCTTCAATGCCATAGCCAGCAACAGAAATTCCTCTGCAGGTCCGCAACCTGCTAGTTATGGAGCAAAGTCAGCTTCAGAAAAATTAGTTGCACCGATTTTGCTGTATAGATAGTGACATTTTGCTTGTGAATACCAACCAATTGCATGCCCATCATTTTACCAGACGCAATCATAATTCATCCATTCATTAATGAATGACTGAGAAAGGGAAACGAGACAAAGCACCTACCAATTTGTTTCCTCGTGCTCACGCTGCTGTTGTTAATCCCCAAATCCACTTCGTTAATAGTACTACTAGTATTTTGTTTTTGGTGAATCCCAATACTAGTATTTTGTTTACGTGATTCATTCATTTCCACTGGCTTAATTAATTCAGACGATTTTCTTTAATAGTAGTAGCACTAAAAACTTCTTTAACTTTTTCATTAAATCAAATGATCAACGTAGTTATGTAACAACCCATGAAATAAATTAGTATAAAAAAAAAAAATTCAAAATAAAGGTGGAGTCGTGTACTGTCTATTAATTACCAAAATAGTCTTAAAATATTTTTGGTGCTTAAGAACCAAGAAAGAAATTGGAAGATTAATGTGTTGTGTATTTTGGATTTGGAAGTGGTAACCCAGTTCGCAATCTACCATTCTTGGCCTTTCTTATAACATGTTGGGTAAAAACCAAATTCGCTATCAAGTAGGGAAACCCTCTAACATTAAGTGGGTGGTTTTTGATATGCATTTTTTTTTTCACCTCTTCAAAATTTGAAAAACATTTAATCTTCCAACTCTGTCCTTTTCGACGTGGACCACTCCACTTTGTTCTCAAACATTTCGTATACTTTTTATTTATATCATTTATATTCCTGGTAACCTTGTTGATTCAATACTAAGCTGATAATATATTAATTAAATTAATATATTAATCAAAATATCTAACAATACTTTTTAATATTGATAATATATTAATTAAATTAATATATTAATCAAAGTATCAACAATACTTTTTAATATCCATATAATATGAAGTCATGTTTTATTTTAAAGAATCATTAGAAGAATAATATAATAATTTTTCTTCCATCTTATAGTTTTGAGTTAACCCTAGAATATGATATTTCTATCAAACTTTATTAAGTTAATATATCACAAATGACTTAAGAAATTCTTTTCTTCTTTCATTTAATATTTCTAGCCAGAATATTATTTTATTCTAGAGCTAAAACTCATTACATAGAGTTAATGGATTCCTTTTGATTAATCATTAATTTTACAAGTATTTAATCATATCCAATTTATATTCAACTAGTACCTCAAGATATTAGGTATATAAAATTAAAATATAATAAATAACTTGTTAATCATTATCATAATCTCATATAAAAAAAATATTTAAATTTTTTTGAGGATTTTCTATTAACAGTCTAAGATAATATAAACCATTAAAAACTCTCAATTAAATTAGTTCAAATAATCATACTTATATATATACATCATCTATATATGAAATTAATAAATGAGATGTTAATTTTTATTCAATAAAGACATTTACATATATATATATATATTGGTCTAACAAGTATTTACAACAATTTTATGACCAAGAATAATTTAAATTAAAATAATAAGAGACTCTTATTTTTTCATTATCATAATCTCTATCATGATAATAACTCTATAATTTTAATTAAAGAATTTATCAAATCTAAAATAAAATAAAGATGATAAATTGGATATGGACTTCCTAATTATTCACCAACAATTTCAACTGATATGTCTAACGGAGAGATACTTTGGTAGATGCTGAAGCACTTGAATAGGAGAGAACAGAAGCCAAGGTCACCGGAACGATCTCCATGTTGAAAAGTCCAAATTGGCAGCTGAAAGCAGAAATCAAAGGCTCTATGTCCATTTCAATAACCATTTCTTTGGTAGATTCTAATGCAGATGTAAAACCATTTTCCCTATAATTTTTTAAATAAGTTATAAGGTCTCTTAAGTGATCTATAGCAACATCTATATGCATATCTTTAGATTGCATGATCTTACTTACAGAATTAACCACAAAAAATATATCATACCAAATATTCATTCCCAATAAAAATTCAAAATTTTCCTTCTTATAAGTCGTTAAACACATGACTTTACTCTTTATTTTAGAATCTTCACTAGTTTTTGATAACTGAACAAATGCATCCCTTATTTTTGGTGCTTGAAACTTTATGGCTTTAACGCTTTCAATTCTACATTCCCATCTTGTTTGAGATAGTGATTTAACTGAAAACTTAGATACATTTTCTTGTAAGATTTTTCACCATTTGGTAGAAAAAGTAAACAAAGAATAAATACGTTGCAAAACTCAAAAAAAAAAAACTCTAGTACATGAATTTGCCATATCACCTAGAACTAAATTCAAATTATGACAACGACAAGGAGTATAATATGCTTTAGGGTTTATGTCCAGCAATCTTTTTTGTACACCTTGATTTTTATAGAATAGGAATCAACAAAGAAAAAAGACAGAACAGGACCGTATTATTCTCAATCAAGCTCTTAAATTAGACGCGAAGAATGAATTGAGAATGAGAATGGAGAGAGAATGAGAAAGAGATAGATTAGAGAGGAAACAAAGAGGTTGAAAATCTATCATCTGTAAAAGACAAGTAGTAGTGACTATTGAATGTTAAGTGACTTTTCATTTACAAAAATTAATAATGGATTGTGGTCTTTTAAGTAATTTTAATAATAAGAAAATAAGAGATATAAAAGATATAAAATATGTATCTTATAAAATATTGGACCTTATCTTAAATATTATTAATTTTTTAAAAATTAATTTATATCAATAATATTATTTATTAAAAAAAATTGGAGGTCTTATAAGTTTGAGGGCTCTAAGCATTAACGTTAATTGTCTTATTGAATGTTCGGCCCTATTGATTACATGTAGTGTAGATATTAGTTATAGACTATGAACATGTCTGGATATAAGTTTACAATGATTTTTAAGATTTTTTTTTTATATAAAAAATACTCTTTATAATTTTCAATAAACAAGTTCTCAAAAGTCCTTTCAAATTGTATCCAAATATATTTTATGTGATTTAAGATTAAGACCACCTAATAATTTATCATGAATTGGAGAAAACGAATTTTATTGTGGGTCTACAAGTTTTTTTTCTCTATTATTTTCGTATGTATCTACGGAATGGAAATGTATATTCCTTCTTCTCCTTTCCTTTCCATGACTTTTCCTTTCTGTCAAACAAAGTTTAAATGTGGTTTTGTTTTCTAACTAGAATTAGTGTTTTACTTTAATAACTTTTACTATGTTTAATGCAACCTTTTTTTTTTTATACAAATTACAATTGTAAAACTTTAATTCTAACCGGAGAATAATACTAAGAATACTTGAAAAAAGCATCTAAGTTTTGTTGTGAGCATATTTGTGATGATCTTTCAGTATGTCATTAAAACATGACCTCTTGTTCTGGAAGAGTAATGCTTGGATATGCTTGAATGTTATTGCAGGGTTTGGTGGAAATGCTCTGAAAGTTTGTTGTGGAGGTGGAGGTCCTTACAATTTCAATGATACGGCCAAGTGTGGAGACGCAGGGGTGATTGCTTGTGATGATCCTTCGCAATATGTTAGCTGGGATGGTTATCATTTATCCGAGGCTGCATATAGATGGATCACCCAAGGTTTATTAAATGGACCATACACCATTCCTGAATTTAATGTCTCGTGTTTCACAGGTGAAACCATTGCATATTTTAATAACTACGCAATGAAATAAAAGTCAGTGTATAATTAATTGTGGACCACTTAATCCAATAGGATGTGATAGCATCCAAAGGGGTTTGTGAGGTTGTACCTTTTACTATAGAACCCTCCACTCACAATCTTAACTATGCTCTCTAAATTTGCACCACACCAATACGCAGTCTCGACACCTTTCAAATTCATCTCGCTTGAAGAATTCGAAACCGTGGTTGTGGCTTATTAATTACCATCATGGAAAAGTCATTCTCTCATGGCATGTTTGTTTTATTATTGGACTTTGTTAAATGAAAAAAACACTCATTCCAAAAAGCATAAAATCAAAAAGTAACATTTTCTGTCTTTTCCGCTGAACGTGATTTTGTGAATTTCCAACGAAAACTAAACACGCTTACTCTAACCAGTTGAATTTTTAAAGTCCCATGTCGAGTATATCATCGAAAACAAGTTCCTATTAGAAGTATGAACTTCTTGTGAACAATGTTGCTTGAGGTATCGAAGTAACAATGTTGCTGCATTCATGTGGTCAGTGTGAGGATTGGACACAAATTGACTCAGCTTGTGGACAGCATAACAAATATCGGGCCGAGATATTGTTAAATACAAGAGTCTCCCAATTAGCCTTCTATATATGCTTGGGTCTTGGAGCTTTGTTCCTGATTCTGCATGAAGTTTAAGATTCGCCTCCATTGGAATGGCTGAAGGTTTGCAAGCAAGAATACCAGAATCTTCAAGAATGGCTAATGCATAGTGTCGTTGACATAGATAAATGCCTTCCTGCGATTTTGACAACTCCAATCCTAAAAAAAATTTGAGATCTCCTAAGTCTTTTAGCTTGAAGTGTTGCTGGAGCATTGTTTTGGCCATGTGGATCATATGCGGGCTAGGACTAGCTAGCACAATATCATCTACATACACTAGAATAACTATGAATGTAGAGCTGGAACCTTTTGTGAATAGAGTGTAGTCATACTTGGACTGCTTGTAACCTTGTGAGATTAGAGTGTTGCTGAAAGTATTAAACCAACTCCTAGACGCTTGCTTTAAGCCATAAATTGACCTGTTGAGTTTACAAACTAATGAAGCTTTGGTGGAGTCTATGCATGTGTTGGTTGAAACATATCCTTGAGGAATTTTCATGAATATCTCTTCTTCAAGGTCACCATTGAGAAAAGCATTGTTGACATCTAGTTGAGCTAGGTGCCAGTTTTTAGATGCTGCTAAAGCAAGTAAAACTCTAAGGGTAGTGATCTTTGCTACAGGAGAGAATGTTTCTTGAAAATCCAAGCCATATTGTTGAGTGAATCCCCTTGCTACTAGCCGAGCTTTGTGTTTGGCAACTGTTCCATCAGCATTAAGCTTAAGTTTGAAAAGCCATTTACAACTAATTGGTTTCTTGTTAGGAGGTAGAGGTTGAATTGTCCAGGTGTTGTTGACTTCCATTGCAGCTAGTTCATCTTCAATTTCAGACTTATTATACGAACAATACTTAGATTTAGACTGGTTTGATTGCTTTATAATAGAAAGATACAGGAAAGAAAA